GGGGGGGGGAGGGGTGGGGGGGGGATGAGACGGTGCTGGGAGTCGCAGTCCACTGCACTGGTTTGAAAACAATGGCCGTCACCTGATGACTGGTCCTCATGTTCTGGGGATGCAGTAGACGTGGGGGGGGGGGGGAGAGCAAACAGGAAGTTGTTTGCGTACTGTGGAATACTGGGGATATTCGGATTTTTTCATTCACTTGATGGCCCATGACGTAAGTACCATATGTTTTACTGCCTTGTACTGTCAAACCGAACTAGGTCAATTATTTTTTTTTCCTCTTCAAAAAATAAAAAGGAGCCGGAGTCGCCCCCTTTTTTGGCGGCTCCGGCTCCGGCTCCGGCTCCGGGCTATATTGTTTCACGGCTCCGGCTCCGGCTCCGGCTCCGGGCAAAATATGCCGGCTCCGGCGGCTCCGGCTCCGACTCCGGCTCCGGCTCCGCATCCCTGATTTTGAGGCTATTCCTTAATGAATAATATAAAAATCCGTAAGAATCAAACCCTAGCAAACACATTTGTACGGTCTCTGGTGCTATATTTTTTACTTGAAACAAGCACATTCAGCCATTTTTCATTACCAGGAATGGAGCAGCCGCCAACCACATGGGCGACCGGGTATACATAGGTATATGGAGCTCTAGGCATTTGCAGGTTGCAGCTGAGGCTCCGAGAAATATAAGCCGAGGAGTGAGATGATGTTTTTCGTACTCCAGCGTAGATGGGTAGCCATACGGCTTCCACGGTAGACAGTGATGACATCAGTCATCTTTTGCAAGCTCGTTAAAGAATTTGGGCTGTACGGGGACTCGAACCCCGGGCCTTTGGATTAGCGCTCCAATGCTCTACCTCTGAGCTATACAGACCAAGTACTTTAACGAGCTTTCTGCCAAGTTTTATGCGGATCATTCTTAGGTGTTGTTTTTATCCGCTGGGACTGAGAGCGTGAGATGATGTTTTTCGTACTCCAGCGTAGATGGGTAGCCATACGGCTTCCACGGTAGACAGTGATGACATCAGTCATCTTTTGCAAGCTCGTTAAAGAATTTGGGCTGTACGGGGACTCGAACCCCGGGCCTTTGGATTAGCGCTCCAATGCTCTACCTCTGAGCTATACAGACCAAGTACTTTAACGAGCTTTCTGCCAAGTTTTATGCGGAAGAATGATCCGCATAAAACTTGGCAGAAAGCTCGTTAAAGTACTTGGTCTGTATAGCTCAGAGGTAGAGCATTGGAGCGCTAATCCAAAGGCCCGGGGTTCGAGTCCCCGTACAGCCCAAATTCTTTAACGAGCTTGCAAAAGATGACTGATGTCATCACTGTCTACCGTGGAAGCCGTATGGCTACCCATCTACGCTGGAGTACGAAAAACATCATCTCACGCTCTCAGTCCCAGCGGATAAAAACAACACCTAAGAATAAGCCGAGGACTTCCGAAAAACATATTTACAGGAAGATAAGTCTACACTTTTTCGAGTCAGCCACGCTTCAGATATGATCACGTCACACGTATGGTCACACGTCCTCGGCCGCCGCTCCTCCGCCATCCACATTCTACACATCTTGAGCGGTTGAGTCGCCCGTCGCCTGTCGAGTCTCGCATCCTGCGTTCCTGTAACAAGGCGGATATTGCTAATTGCTATGTAATTACGAGCGAGCGAGCGCAGCGAGCGAAGTGAGTCTTTTCAATATAACGGAAAAATCTCAGTATGAGCGGCCCGGCCCGGCCCGGCCTGTAACGCTTTTGAGAGGCTTATATCTCAGCAACCGCTGGACCAATTGGCCTGCGGTCTTTTTTGTTGGGTAGCCCAATCCCTTCTACCCCGTAATTGACTACTTTTGATACATCTCAGTGACCGTCGTGGCACGTGCCACGTGAAAAGTCAAGGGTGTTCAAGCTGTTTTGCAAAAGTAGTGATTTTGAGAGGCTCATATCTCAGCAGCCGCTTGAGCGATTGACTTCCGGTAATTTTTGTAGGGTAGCAGCATCCCTTCTACCCAAAATAGGATACTCTCGAAGCATGTGGGTCACCCACAGTGCACGTGCAAAATACAACAATAAGAGGTGCCAAATTTGTTCCCATTTCAGTAACTCGGTAATTAGTGGGGCGATTTCGCTGAAACTTGGCATACAGGTAGGCACCCACCAGGCAATGCATTCCCATGTGTTGCGGTTAGGGTGCTACTGCACGTGCGCACGTGCAGGGGGCGTTTCCAGATCTCGAGAACGGCTGGGCCGATTGCGCTCAAATTTGGTACACGGTTGGGGACCAGTTAGTAGGGTGCCGTGCAAAAGTCATTTTGGACCCCGTTTGCACGTGCGCACGTGCAGAATGCCGCTTCCAGATCTCAGGAACGGCTGGGCCGATTGCGTTCAAATTTGGCACACCGCTAGCAACCGGTTAGAAGGGTGCTTTGCGCAAGCCCGTTGGAAGCACCCTCTCGCCTTTCCGCACGTGCAGGGCTCACTATCTCGCTCGCTCGTTCTTCGCCCAAAAGGCGTTTTACTGGTAACAGTAACATACTGATCAACAATACCTACTCAAAGGCTCAAGAATTCTACTCTTAGGCTTAGACTGCAGTCCCAGCCAAAGAATATTGGTGAGCCTTTGAGTAAATTCAGTTCAGTCATTTCCAGCTTAGATGCCTGTGTATGTTCATTTAGCAATGCATGACATATGCACCTACGTCCTACTACCCTGAATCCATTGTATTATATTTACCTGGGCCTCGTTCCAAGGCATGACGCTAAAAGACGCTACCGGTAGTACTTTCATTTGCCGCAGCCAAATGAATGACGACGACGATCGCCATGAATTGAAGTGAACGTTTCAGCGCCGGTTTTTGCATCTATCAATGCAAATACTAGGATCAATTATCTCATTGATACACAGCATGGCAGAAACTTACATGGCCCGAAGAGGAGACGGCAGACGGCACAACACACTCAACAGACTCGTCCGCATCCCGCGAGCGGCAGCGGCACAATGCGACAGGGGGACGCGCGGTCTCCCCCCTTGCCGGAGGCGAGGATCGGACCGCCCGCTGCCGCCCGTACAGTCTTTAAAGGGACCCTCCCACCTTAACATTAGTTTTGAGTTGAGCTAGCCAAGTTTGCGGCCAGGCTCAGAAACCACCATTTATCCTGGTCGCAACCCCCGCAGCTTTATGGTGTTCAAGAAATTTCTTCCCTTTACTTGCAGGGTGGGACCAGCGTGGTCCCTATCTCTTAACCATTACGGGAATCTGATGACGTCATCAGGCTTTCGAACGTCCGTTAAATGTTTGACTAAAACGTTTTGTAGCACGCGGTGGTATATGCTGCTTTGCGCGCAACAAATGCCGCACTTTCAAATAAAGTCGCTAGGAACAGCGGAGATCCCAAAAAGTAAACAAAAGTAAAAGTCTAATATCTTGAAAACCGGTGAATATTTTTCGATGAAATTTGGTAGATATTCGTTTTTGCTCTTTCTGAACCGAGCGACATCACTTTCATGCCAATTCATTAACTTTTTTGAAGGTGGGAGGGTCCCTTTAAAACGGTCAGCGGTCGCTAAATTCCAGTCGGTACGGTCTCTGAAAGAGCACAGCGCAAACACTGTGGCACCGGTGACACTAAGGCCATACGATACATGCATACTGTGGCACTTGGTTGTACTTTTTATCAGAACTATTCGTCTATCCGATTTGGAGTCTGGGTGAACCCAGCGTGGATATTTAGGTGACCATCCCAGCTAAATATTAATGCTGAGTTAAGATAGCCAAATTGTTATCCCTGGCTCACAATCACCGGTTTTGGTACTCGCATTATCGAGAAATGCCATAAATCGAAAATATTTAATTTCAAAGTTGCAGCACATAAGTAGGGGCAAGCTGCTCCCACTGCCCCCTTCGCCTCCCGGTTCCCGCGCTTACAATGATAACGAACGCTGCTTTGGTCCGTCACAAAGTTTTACATGCCGTATATGTCATATGGTTAACGGATACGGAGCACGGAATAATACTAGGGATGATTCAATCACTCCATAATGATTGACGTACTGGCTGCATCGGCTATCCTTAAGGATTAAGCGACACTAACAAGTGGCAATTTCCTTACGGAATACTGAGCGATCCTTAAGGATACCAAACATCGCCCTAAAATCCTTACGGATCGGCGAATGCGTCCTTAAGGATTCAAGAGGGTCCGTAGAGTCCTTAAGGATTTCATATCTGATCCATATGGATCCTTATGGATCCTTAAGGATTGTGGGGATTCTGACGAAATCCTTAAGGACTTTTTCACTAGGCCCCCCCCCCCCTCGTCGCGCCGGTGTCAGAGCTGTGAGGGGGCCGACTGCAGCGCCCCCGTTCTAAAATATGAAATACGGCACCAGCTGAGCAGGCATCCTCAATATACCTTGGGCCGTGGCCGAGTAAGCCTCAGCTAGCACCGCGTCGGGGCTTCATTATCGGTTCGGCCATTAGTGATAAGATTATCCCCATTCATTGTGCAATGCGGCCAATGTGGTGTAGTCAGAGCGCTCAGCTGATGAGCGGGTGAATGGGATACGACAGCTTACGGCTCGGCTGTGTATGTAACTGAACAGAGAACGCCCTTTTCCACTTAACACCACTCCAACTCCAAATAGAAGTAAAGATGCTGGTTATAGCAGAATGGAACGGGATGGGAAAGGACATATGATACGGATTTCGGATACAGGACACAGAATAGGTAAGATGATGCTGACTGCCCCTTACCTTTCCCTTGTAGCCGTGTCAGCTTATTGGGTGTCAGTGAAAGAAGCCGTTAGAAGGACAACACCTGTTTGCGTGGTGTTACAATCGATAAATGCTAACTTTTTTCAAGGTACAACATTGTGGGTTGCCCATTGTCATGTGTACCTTAAGAAGGCATTGTGGCTTGTGCATTTTCATGCGATCCCTGTGTAGGTGGTGACGTACCGTTCCAGTACAGTGTCGTTGTCACAGACTGACCGACTGTTGTTGATTGTTTGTTCCAGTCCGGAGGCGACTCGTTCGGAGCCAAGAAGGGCGCTCGACGACCCAAGGAGATGAGGGTTAAGCTTGGTACGTCTCGCTCGTACAATCAACGCTGCCGTTGCGACTGGATTTGATGAGCTGGCGCTCTCTCTAATTTGCGCAGCTCTGTTGTCTGTTGTGTAGTTCTCTGTTGTTAGCACACTCACGCTGTAATTATATCTGATGAGTTCCTAGTAGTTGAAGTCCATAACTGCGAGGTAAGTAAATCTTGTCGATGCATTTCGTGCCGCGATATTCTGCGCCACTCAGTGTAATTGTCTGAATAGTTTGGTCTTCCGTGAGCTGGCTCGGATATGGAAGCCTGATCAGGAACTGCGCAGAATGTGATGCATCCCTTTGAACCTCAGTGTCCTACCAATGACACTCTTTCCAGCGTCGCAGTGCATTTGATTCAGCTTCAGCCCAACTGCAAAGAAGTGGCTCTCGCAGGGCGTGGACGCCGATGTCACACTGCTCTCTAACTCCCTCCCTCTCTCCCTCATGCAGATCGGTCCAGGCAGAGCGCGCGCGAGTGCCGATGTCACACTGCTCTCTGACTCTCTCCCGCTCTCCCTCATGCAGAGCGGTCCCGGCAGAGCGCGCGCGAGTGCCGTGCTAGGAAGAAGCTGCGTTACCAATACCTGGAGGAGGTCGTTCGTACCCGCGAACAGGCCAACCTACTGCTGCGGAAGGAGCTCGAACAGGTAATGGTTTGTGCGACTGGCAGCAGGCTGGTAGAGATGTGGACGACAGAGGAGAAATGTGAGCTATAAATAACGCCGATAGCGACCTGGGGTGCTAGTATGTCATATGATGTGGCATATGTGATATGTTAGTTTGGAAGGTGAGGTTCTTACATTGAGACACGTTTTCAGCCCATTGCGGTGGTATGGTCGGAGTATGCCTCTTTTACGGTTGTCGATGATCGTTGAGGGGCTGGTGCAGAAAGGTTTCATCTTTTTTTTGTGAACTTCTGGCGGCATTATGCTCTCCTGAAATTAGAAAAATAATAGGCATTGCTTGACAATATACGCCTGGTCGATAGCGGGCTTGAGGCTTAACCAGGGCTAGGTAGTGGGTCGCTATTCTATGGGGCTTGAAGTCTGGATGTGGGACTGCTGGCTTTATCACTGTCCCGCGTTTCTAATCTAAATTAAATAGGTCGATAATGGCAACATCCTCAAAAGCATGCTACCAATCGCTGCGGTCGGCGATTTGGCGATTTAATTAACGTTTGATCGACGTTCAGATTAGTGGAACCGCTGGGGCATTCCACGATAGATCGTACCACTTTTTTCCAATTTGACACCCTCATCTCTCGGATTTTAACGATAATTGGTCTAAGGGGTAATCAGGGGCTCTGAATCCTCCTGTGACAATTTCAGGCTTATCAGATGAGTAGTTTTTGAGTTATAGTGTATAACATGTTTTGGATCTTGCGTTGCAGCGCCAAGTTTGGCGGGCTGTAACTCTAAGACGGATAATCCAAATGCCAAATGCTATACGGCATTGAACTCGCATTGAAACAAAGAATAATATGCATTTTTGAAATTTTGAAATATAATATATTTTTGATATATAACACCTCGAGCTTCCTTTCATTTGCATTTTTATGCCTTTGGGACCAAATTTTTTTGAATTTTTATTTTCTTAAAAACATTTTTGGATCATTTTTAAGTAGTGTGCAAAAAATTAGGAAGGTGTTCTTTCTCTAAATGTACTTATTTTGCGTTACCGTAATGGTCTCAAATTGTAATTTCGGGAAGAGAGCCTACAAATGGCGTGGTAAAGCTGCCTAGTGACATCACTGGTTACTGAAAGTTCAATTGAAGTCATTTGTGCCTGACTTTTGCATTGTTGACCTTGCGTGACGTCATTCGTACGTCACTAGGGTCATCAGAGTTTTTCGTCAATAACTCTCGATCAAATTGAACTAGAGAGACGGGAAAGCTACCAATGGACTCGGGACGACCTTGCGAATCGAATGATGTGCAATATGATCTCATTCACCCAGATTCGTGGCCTGACCCGACTATTAACCATCTCTGTGGCGGCGCTGTTTGTCTAGCGCCGCGCTGGTTGGCTTTGCCGCGGACTCGGGCGGTCACGTGATGCCCGGGGGCTGGCTGCCGGCTGGGCCGCCCGGTCGGGGAGCGGAGCCAAATACACGGCAGTGTGCTGACCCGAGATCAGCGACTTATGCTGACCTCACCAGAACAAACAGTATACCATTCGACGCGCCGGAGCTAGGCAAACTCAAAGATGCTAAAATCGTGGCTCTGCGACCATTTGTTGCGAAGTTATCTACCAAAAACCAAAATTTTTTATCTACCAAAATTTGGGTCACTTGAAATGACCTCAGGGTTCACCAATGAACCCGAGACCTTAAAATGTGGTATCATTTGATGCATCTTGTAACGGCGCACATGCTCGTTTTTTTTCCGCAAGGTTCTAGCTCCATTAGAGGCGAAACGGCGAGCTGGGGTCGTACCGACCCCCCGGAAACCCATTTTGTATGCATTAAAATGAGGAACTTATAGAAAGAACACCTTTCTAATTTTTTGCATGTCGATTTTAAATGACCTGAAGTTTATTTTGAAGAAATAAAAATGGCAAAAATTTTGGTCCCAAGGGCCATTAAAGACGATTTTAAAAAATATTACGACTTTTTTCAATATGTAAAGCTTTTCTTTCCAATTTTAAAAAAGCTGTATTAATCTTTAATTCATCGTCAGTTCAAAGCTGTTTACCGTTTGTTGCTTGCCTAGCTCGTTTTTGAATTATAGCTCATCAAACTCACCCTTACAATCTGAAGTTTAGAAAATATTATGCAATATAACTCAAAAAGTTTTCATCTGAGAAGTCTGATATTTTGGCAGGTGTTTTTGGAGCCTATGATTACCCCTAGTACCAATTTTCATTCAAATCTGAGGGATGAGGGTGACGGGCCTGGTACGATCTATCGTGGAATCCCCCCGCTACCAATCATACCGGGAGGGTTTGGCTGAAGCTATCAATGGCCGTGATGTGCCAGACGTTTGCTCTAGTTTTTACCACATCATAACACGCCATTGATTCACTCAATGTGCTGTCGGCACGTATTTAATGTCACCGTCCTCACGTCGACCTATCGAAAACCTCATAGGTCATAGTTTCTGAAACAGGCTGTCGGCCCATGAGCCGCGCTTCCGAGGCGTGAGATATCTCTCCTCCAGCCAACCATCATCATATCACCCTCGGTGATCAGATCATGTGGCAATGATTGATATTCTGAGAATCTCCCGCCATTGAGCGGATAACGGCTGTCAGGTGGAGACGTTCTTGTCATGCCATCACTGGTCTATGGAGACGTGCGTTTGTCATGAAGATACGTGCCTCCGTCTCTGTGGGGCGTCTCTATAGTGTTCAGGGTGTGGTACGGGACAATACTGGACTACACTCGTCCTCAAATGCTGACAGTAAACTGGAAATATTGTATATGTACCGTAATTGGTGCACACAGATGTCGGCTCGTTGACCCGCCCCATCGGCAGCCGTCACATAAACGAACCGTCTCGCAAAAGGGACCATTCATTCCATTGATCATTGCCTATATGAACGCAATGACTGTGGTTAAGCCCTCATAGTGGTATGCTTTAATTTCCACAGTTAATTTGTGAAAATGTCACATGACCTTGTTTTAGTTTTACCGCCTGACCTTGTTTAGGTTGACGTTTTTTTTGTGAGAGTTCTTGTATTATGAAACAGACATGATTTGGTGTTAATGTATGTGATTTATGGGGACACTGTACAGTATTCTATGCCATGATACACGAATGATTTGAAGGTAAAAAAACGGTTTGAAACTCAGGACATCACATTGACTATATTGTTATGCGTGCTAGCGCTCAAACGGCGGAATTATCAAAGTCACCCCTTGGGCTGATCGGTGATCATGCGACATGCTCTTGCCTTTATTGTGTAGCATTTGGGATAGTTCCCAGGATTAATCCTATTTCTGTTCTCCTTTGACCATCAGACATCGCCAGTAACTACACGTATCTTTTTCAGTATTTAAAATGGAACCAGGAGTTGGATGAGGGCCGCGTACCAGAAGGCCTGAAGAAGCTGGTGGAAGAGGACCAGTTACAACAACAGCAACAGCAGCAACAGCAACAGCAGCAACAGCAACAACAGCAGCAACAGCAACAACAGCAGCAGCAGTTGCAATACTCGCAGCAGCAACAGTAGACCCAGCCGACCCGGCGGGAGCTCCGGTAAGACGCCGGAGATGGTCGTACCCTGCGCGTCGCTGTCTGTCGGGATTTTAGCCCCAACGCACTGCTGCGGGGTCGAAGGTCTTGAGCTAGGAGTATGACGAGGGCGCGGCGGGCGGCGGCCGCAGAGGTATCGCCAAGGAGACTGGTCACTGGGCGTGAGTCTGTTCCCGGGTTGGGTCTGACGGCAGGCCGGGTCTGCCAGTAGGCTGGATCTGTCGGTTGGCTGGGTTTGGTGGTGGACTGGCTCTGCTGGGCATGCCGGTGGACTGGGTCGGCCGGTAGGCCTGGTCTACCGATAGGCTGGGTCTGTCGGTGGGCTGGGTCTGCCGGTGGGCTAGATATGCCGGTAGGCTGGATCTGCAGCTGGGCTGGATCCGTCGGAAGGCTGGGTCTGTCGGGTCGGGTCCGTTGGCGGGCTGGTTCTACCGGTGGGCTTGGTCTGCTGGCGGGCCGGGTCTGTCGGTCTGAAGGTCTGTCGGTGGGCCAGCTCGGTTGGTCAGCGGGGTCTGTTCTGCCGGTGGATTAGGTCTGCCGATGCAGTTCGCCGGTCAGCCGACAGGGCTCGACATCTACCATCCCCGCCGGCTGGCTCGGGCATTGGCTGGCCGGCACGGCAGCGGTGGCGGCTGTTCTGTGAGATCGTTGTATGGACGTTAGAGTAGAAGGCGAGCATGGTTGTCCTGCTGTGGGTCAGAAGACGTGTAGGAGAGGCGGCACCAGGGCCGCCGCGCTGCGTACCGGGTAATCGCGCGTAAGTTAAGGACGAGCGCTGTGCAAGTGTTTTGATGGCAGAGACTTTATGTGCGATGTGCAATGTAAGGCAGCGGTTATGGGAGATTTGAGAGACGTTCGTAACGGTGATATTGATAAGATTGCTGTTGGCGTGCCCGCTTGGCTGCACCCTTCAGAGCCTGGTGTTAGACGCTGTGATCGAAAGACAGCACGCGCGTATTTGTTGTGAACCTTCTCGGCTGCTTCGCTGGACTGGAAGGCTATCGCTTGGATAAGTTTATTTCGGAAGCGTTGACGTATTGACAACACAAAGGCGCCGGATATATGTTTGACGTAGGGCAGTAACAATATATTTGACCAAGCCCGAAACATTGTTTGACCGAGCTCTAGCTCAGTTTTTAATTTAAAAATTGTTTACCCTTTGATTCATCGAGTAGCTCTTGCAGGGTAACTGAAAACGGTCGTAAAATCGAATAGTCGGCTTAGTGCTTGGGGTCCTCGAGCCTTTGTTCCTTTCTAGGCCCGTGAACTGGAGCGTTTCCTCGGTTTATCTAGCAATCGTTCCACACGGAAGTGCGCGAATCGAGTGTCCTACAGAAACAACAATGAAAGGTTTATTGACCACTCGTTATCGTTTTTGGGCATTCCTGTAGCCAGCCTTGTCACCAGCCTTATGTCTGCTTGGCCGGTTTCACTGGATGGTATCAATTTCTGGCTCCCGATATTTTATCTTATTTTTTAGTAGCAAGTATCGTAGAATTTCACGGATCTAAAAACTGGGCTTTATCATCATGGAATGGTGTATTGATATCGCAAGAATTGGCACAGTTTCAACACTCAATAAACCTATGTACACACTCTATAACACTCATCACATAATACCCTCGGCAGCACAGGCACCACACGGTGATTGGAAGACTGGCCGCGGCCCTTGGCGGTGCCCTGCTGGGGCGGCAAAGGCAAGTGCGGCCGCTCCGACGGCCGCGCAAAGCTCAACGAATCGGAATGTGCTCAGAATATCGATGTGTTGTGCAAAATAGGTCAGCGTAAAGACAGCGTATAAGGAAGACTGTGAGCAAACGAGAGGCTCTGCAGAGATTCAGACATTCTCCGACCCCAGAGCCGAACCAGCCGGCCGCCAGCAGTCTGACCAAGCCTGGAAAATACTTTGGCATACGCTGCTTGTTACATATAATATCGTCTACACTCGTACATTTCTCATTACTGTATCTGTGCGGTCACTTCGTGTGCAAATGCTTCGCAGAGGCGTCCGCTTTGTCCCTGCGACGCGTCTATGATGAGTTGGAAACGTCACACATGATCATAAACACTTCCTCGAGATTCGCACACTAAACCCACACCAGCCAATAGCCGTGTCTGGTCCCATTTTAACATACATTTCACATGGTCCCGCTGGTCCACCCACTTAGAATACCCGACCACGACCCACCGCATAAAAGGCACGCGGGCTGAGCATCACCGACGCTGCGGCCCGAATAAGTTCGATCACGATTTCACTCACACTGAACCCACTGCGCGCCCTGCTGACTGGGCGAGGGCGCCGTCTGTGACTGCGGCGGGCGCCGCGCTCGCGGCGGGCGCCCTGTGACTGGGACGGTGACTAGTGACGCCCCGGCGCCGACCCTCGGCTCACAGCCCGTCTGTCCGTCTGTCTGTCTGTCTGTCGCACCAGCGGTCGCTGGCGCTAACACCAGGTCTTTCCCGGATCGACATCGATGGCGACGCCGCTGATTTGTGACAGAAGACTGGCCACGCTGTGACGAGGGTCCAGCTCGGCGGCGGCGGCGAACGAGAACTGGATGTCGTCCACGGAGGCGCCGGCCGCCGCCCCCGCCCCCGCCGGGACTGAACTGCAGGACGGACCGGCGCCGCCTGAGGACCCCGAGGACAGTGCGCTGAGAGAGCTGGCTGGCAGCGCGCTGAGAGAGCTCGCCGGTAGTGCACCCAGAGAGCTCGCCGGCAGCGGACCCGCCAGCGTGCAGTTCTGGTAGCTGTGAGGTGCGGCGGCCCCACCCACCGCCGCTGGCTCTGCCGCCACTGTGACGCTCCGGGCTGCAGCGGTGGGGGCGGGCGGTTCGCCGGTGGGCACCTCGTACCCAGAGCTGCTGTCGTGGCGCAGCTGCAGGTAGCTGTGCCGGTGCGGGAGCCGCAGGCGCGCCCGGCTCGGCAGCGTGGCCTGCGCCGCCGACGAGTCGCTGAACACGGAGTCGTCGTCGCCGTCAGCTAGCAGGAACGAGCTGTCGCGACCGCTGTTGGCGCTCGAGCTGCGCCGCCAACCGCCGCCTGACGGAGGGAGATGAGAGATTAGAGGCGGGTAGGTGGTGGCTGGGGAAGAGTTTTACCCAAGCCCAGAAAATGGGAGGTGAGCTAACGCGTTATAGTATGTAAACCCATCCGTTAATCAGTGAAAGGAACAAAGCTGCTCATAGAGGAAATCCACCAGTTAGAGGTAGAATACAATACATTCATCTCTTTTCAAACCATCAATGGACAATTGACAAGCTCGAAGATAAGTGAACCATTGACCAACAAACACGCACACGACACACTCCGGTTATTGAGAGGCGGAAACGTTACTCAGCAGAGGCGAGAGGTAAGCACACTTACCGGTAGCTTCCACCTCCTCTCCATCGGCCGAGTAGGCGCTGTTATCGAACGCAGCTGAGTGGGACAGAGAGTAGCGAGAGTCAGCAGAGCCGGACGGACGGACAGCAGCAGAATGGACAGAAGTTAACATACAGAGCCAGGAGGTGGGCGGACGCAGCCGAGGCAGGCGGACATACCAAGATTAACAGACATACCAGACGGAATTAGTACACTTGTATGATCGGCGAGATGCAAGGGCCATCAAATGTACACAGTTATATGCCAATAATAGGCTTTACCATTCCTGCTCAATAATGAGCGATCAGTCAAACAGAGCCTTGCAATATCGTTCTCGTATTGACAATCATTTCGCATGCGTTCCAGGCAACTCATATTCCGGCCTGAACAAACGTTGTCTGCATATCGAACCGCAAATAAAGACGCATGAACTCATATCTCCGTGCAGGGATGCGAAATCATTCATCGGACGTGGCACTAGGGTACATCGTTCGTGGCAGTCGTACTCACCAGGTGTTCGGGCGTACTGGGCATTGTGTACAGTCATGCCAGTCTGCACGAGACCAGGTGCCTGGCCGAGGGCGGCCACCTGGGTCTGCTGCAGACACTGGAGGCAGTGGGCAAAACTGGGCCGGTCCTCGGGATCGTATTCCCAGCACTGCTGCATCAGGTCGTACCTGACGGATGGAGGGAGACGGGACGTCAGTGGACACTCTGAGAGATTGGCAGCTCTCAGAGGAGTGGGAGATGTCAGCTTGTCCTTGCATGATGGGATTTCAATTATATCCATTGAAATGTGTGCATGGGTCCCTGGGTTGTAAATATGAAGAGGGCATGGCTAAGTACGACCAGCCACACTGACGACTGTAGATGTAGAATACTGCTAGCAGGCGACCCGTAACGTAACCACCCACCGCTTTCTGCCCTATCTTCACATTCACCCCTTACCCGCTACCAACCCGCCCAGCCCCATCAACCCTCGGCGTCACTCACAGCAGCTGGGGGCAGCGGTCCGGTCGGCTGAGGGTGCCGCCCTCACGGACATACTGCAGCACCTCCAGGTTAGTACGGGCCGGGTACGGCTGCTGGCCCTTGGTCATCACCTCCCAGAGAAGCACGCCGAACGCCCAGACGTCCGACTGACTGGCGAACACGCCGTCAATCAGCGACTCCGGAGACATCCACCTGGCGGAGGAGGGGGAACTACGGTCAGACATCCGTCTAGCGGAGCAGGGAGGAACGACGGTTGGGTATACACCTGGTGGAACGAAGAACTACGGTTAGCTATCCATCTGCTGGCTGATACATCAACTACGAACATGGACAAGACAGGCGTGTGCGGGCATTACGTCAATTCAGCGACAACGTTAAGTTCAAGATTCATTCGTTTCCCATCCTGCGCCTCACCTGACAGGCAACAGTCCTTCGCCCTCCTTTCTGTAGTAGTCATTCTTGTAGATGTCCCTGGCGAGCCCGAAGTCTCCGATCTTTACGATGCGTCTGTGCGGCTCGCTGCTGGTGACGAGGCAGTTTCGGGCGGCCAGGTCCCGGTGGACAAAGTGCAGCTGCTCCAGGTACTGGCAGCCGCGCGCTACGTCCACACACATCTGAAGCTGGTCGTTCAGCGACAGGATCGGAGCCTGCAGGAGAAGAGAAGCGGTAATTAAGTGAGTGATCGTGGGCATGATCGAAGGGAACGCACTACGCACTATCTGTGCAAAGTTGATACATGACTGAAGCGTGAGGACTTAACCAATGGCATGACGTATTACATACAGCGCGACAGCATCATGAACAAACTGAGTACTTGATCAAAATCCTTAGAGAACGTTTAATCGTCACGGATAGTTCGGCTGTGTCGTCTCACCCCGTCGGAGTCTGTGCCCCGGTTGGCGCGCAGGTAGCTGAGCAGGTCACCGCCCTCCATCAGCTCCAGAAGCAGGAAGTACGGGTCGTTATCCAGACACACGCCCAGCAGCGAGATGATGTGCTTGTGCTTGAAGTTGCTCATCAGCTGCGCCTCCTTGAGGAACTCAAGTTTCTCCTCGTCCTTGGCTCCCTTCGCGAGTGTCTGGAAACGACAAACGTCCGCGGTAAAAACTAGAAGACAGGCCGACCTTTAAGTGGTTTGGAACTCGTTAGTCGTTTAACAACAGGCTACAACGTTTAAAACTACGCTATTTTATGAAGAACAAACGAAAGCAGAGACGGTATGACTAGATACCGTCTCTAGTCTCTAGTCACCGATAAGTGAAAGCAGAGAAAGCAGAAAGTTGCATATCGGCTATTTCACACACCGACTGGTTTTCTTGCCCACTCTCCCGCTCTTCTCACCTTGATCGCAACCCTGACTCCGTCCTCATCCTCCTCCCTGCCGGGCAGCTGCTGCGCCAGGCCCTCGTACACCTCGCCGAACGCCCCCTTGCCGAGGAACTTGGTCAGAGTGATGTGCTCGCGGCGCACGCGCGGCAGACTGGCTGCGTCCTCAGCATCAGCGAACGGCGGCGCGTACAGAGTGTTGTTCTGACGCACAAAGTGGGCCGGGATCTCGCGGAGCTGCGCCAGCTCCAGGTCGTGCGGGAGCTGGTCTGGCGAGCGGGGTGCCTTCTTGTCCTCGGGACGGTGACGGAAACCTGGAGATGTGGAGACGTGGTGGTTAAGAGCATGGTTATGAATAGCAGGTAGGCTCACTGGGGCTATCAATGGAGAAGTTGTGTGAGAAAAGTTTAATACGCTGTTAGTGT